CCACTGGGTATGGTTTGGTGGGAGTGGTACATGAAGCATAGTAATGCCATATGGAGATGCGGTGGGGTAAATCTGTGGGAACACGATTACCTCAAGAATCATGATTGCTCAATGAAGTCTTAGCGTGCCAAGAATGTCATAACTGACGATATGGGAACATGATTACCTCAAGAATCATGATTGCTCAATGAAGTCTTAGCGTGTCAAGAATGTCATAACTGACGATATGGGGAGTTTGTCACGACCCAACCCCTAGTAGGTAATCTCACATGTGGCATAATCATATAAATGACTTTTTAATATGTAATAACTTTTTGCAAATGTAAAAGTTGGTTGTGTATAGCGTGTGTGTAAGCATTGCAAAGTTTAGTTAAGTGTATTCGAACAAGGAGCAATTTCAGGATGGAGGACCTCCTGTGAAGGTTCTTGTTATGTAGTTTTGTGGCATAGAAGTACAGTTTGTCAGTTGTATAGCTTGACTGATGTTGATCGGAAAAAAGGTGCAATATGTCTTAATATAATTACTAGGCGATGAAAGTGAAGCTGTCATGTAAATCTAGGAGTTGAATTGGTCAAGATCCTATATCACTTGGAGGAAGAAATGTAGCAAAACATACAGCACACATGTAAGAAATGTTTGTATTCATGTGGACAGTTTGCCGCAAAAAGCACAAACCATAAACTTTTAATAGTAACAGAAGCTTCCTATAAATTAAGATATGCTTTAGACTTCAGACTTTACCTTATAGGATATGTTCTTATGCAGTAAACTCTTGCCTGGTTATGCTGGCGGATATAAGTGAGGTTTTTTTTAAAGCATCAATATATTGGGTTTCAGATTATAATCAAAATTGTGCGAGTTTAATATACCTGAGGCATAAGATTCCCATGGTTGGATTCCAGCCCCCTCTCATCTATCTTGTCAAATCTCATTTGCTTTGCAGCACCGGTAGAGCCTTTTACAACTATTTATCAATCAATGTTTAGTTTCATTTTTCTTGAAGTTAATGAAGAAGATCGAATGCACTTTGTCATGGGAGCACTGTGAGCATATTGAAATTCCCAATGAGGCAAGCTTTCAGCAGTTCATCATCTAATTTATTTAAATATTATATTTGATAGTCCTTTAGTCTTAATTTACACAGTTGATGGATGCATGATTCTAACAATTTACCAATATGTTTGTCTAGCTTAGGTTTGTTCCATCCAAAGCCATGATGAAATAATTTATATGCCATAGCTAAAAACCATGTTTTAATTTTAGCGCATTCACAACTACGCAATCATGTATTGTAAAGAAAGTTATTGAAATCATGAGTTGACTTTCCATTTCGAGAAAAAAAATCATTTGATGGTGTAGCCCAACCTAACTTGGACAAATAAGAAACTCTGCTCTTGTTATATCATTCAGGGACTTTTGTTGAGAATTTGTCGTTGATATGCCAAGTGTATTCTTTTGTACTACTTTCTGGTATATGACTTCTCTCATTAATAAGCTGCAGAGAACTTGCTCAACAAATTAGATGAAGCCGTCATTCTAAACTTAACTCTTTTTTATCTCAGGAAGAAAAAGAGGCAGCTTTAAGGCAGCTTAGAAAGAGCATGACATTCAAGGCTAATCCTATGCCAAGCTTCTACCGTGAGGGACCACCTCCTAAGGTTGAACTTAAAAAGGTACTCTGACGAATTTTGTCAAAATAATTCTTTTTTTCCTTATCATATTCTTTATGACATAGTCTCATCAAGTCAAATAATTGTACTTTCAAACAATGTCTCATATCCTAAATTGTTGCAGATCAGAATTCTAGTCCAAAAGTTCCCTATGTTTTTGGTGTTTGTTGTTGACATCCTTGCAATATGAGAACATGATGACTTACTAAAATATAGTGTATTACTTTACTTTCAGCATGAACCGTTTTCATGTTTATTGCGATTCTCTTGTCCACTTATCGTGTGTATTTTCAACTTTCTCAAGATGTTTATGAACCTTGATGAATATTAGCACCCCTGCCTGTATCGTTGTTTCTGTTTCAAACTACATGGTAGTAAATAGAATTTTGTAAATCCTTAAGAGACTACACTGCATTTTAGGCTTTAAAGCCCTTAATCCTAAATATCTTTTGTTTATAAGCATGTGATCGAGAACATGTTATACATGGTAATCTCTTTCCCTTCCTGCCCAGTCTCATCATTCACTGACCTCCTGCAGTCGGCCATGCCGCCCCCCCCCCCCCTCTTTTCAGATGCAGGACGAGGCTGTTCTATCCTTTTTTGAATAACCGCAAGCTCTAGCTAAAGCTTCTTGGATGATGAGAGTTCATAGATTTAACAAAAACCTGTCCCTGAATTATTGCTAAGAGCCTCAAATGGGATTTGTAATATAAAATCCAACAGCATATAACATTTACACGTTTAAAGATATTTTTCTATGCTCAAACAATGTCCTTTTTTATCTCTGAAATTTTGACAGAACTGGGATTCAATATGTAGGCATACTTTTCTATCTGGATTTTTTCCTCTCTTTTTTTCCCTTTCAGTTACTTTTCAAAATATCAGGCTCATCAGTTGCGTTTCGATATACTTCAGTTACGTAAATAGTTTCCTTGTGGTGATGCATTCTACTTGGACATAATTTCTTAGCATGTTTGTAGATCTCTATAATAAAGTTTTTGAGTTCTTCAATCTTGATGATGTGTAATTCTATCCATGGAATGTAAGGTCTGCAAGTAAGCCTTCAGTAAGTGATCTTGGTAAAACTATTTTTTCTTTTCATGTCTTCTTTTGGTTGTAAGACATCTTATGATTGTTGTTGAATGCAGTTTAAATCAATATTACTTTCAACAAAGTTAAAATTTGGTGTAATCTAGATTATGTTTTTTTAAGGCTGTGGATTGACTGTTCAAAATTTGTTATTCTTGTTTTTCATTAAAATTTCTTATTGCATGATTGTTGTCTACTCATTAAATTCAGATACCAACATTTGTAGTCATATCATGATGCGATTTTTTCCTGAAACAAACTGATGTACTCTGAAACACTGCCTTCCGTTTCTGGAACCCATTTTGACCATCTTCCTCCCGAGGGAAGGGAAGTTATTTATTGAAAAGAGGTTCATACGCTTGATGATATACATAACAAATTTATGCACAATCCAAAGTTAGCCAAAGAAGGTATGGTCTGGATAGAGGGTGCGTCTTTTAGATTAGTCCGTATTTTTGTTGTCTTACCACTATCCTAAAATTTGGTGGAGAACTTCATTGACTAATTGTTCACTGTGGAATTTGATTTAAGACTCTTATTTCTTTTGTTTTGTTGTGTTGTTAGCTACCCACGACTCGAGCAAAATCACCTAAACTTGGCCGAAGAAAGAGCTGTGGTGATGCCAACAATTCTTCTCAAGGAGAGAACAAGAGTAATGGAGCACCTGAACGGGCAACCCGTCACAGTTTGGGTACTTACAAAGTTGGCAACAAGCTGCAAAACAATGCAAAAATTGGAAAAAACATTGTTCTCAAAGACAAAGAAGCATCCAAATCTGCAAGGGAGGTATCAAATGAGTCTCCTACTATTGAAGCCACCGAGCAGATAACTACCAATACCTCTGTGCAATCTTGACCTTCGATCTACTCATTTTCCTTTTAAAGTTATTGCTCTTATGATCTTACATCACAGGAAATGAAGCATTGCTTTCTCCCAACATCAGTATACTTGGTTTTGGAGGAAGTTATATGATTCTGAGAACTTGTTGCTAGGATTTGTGGTGTATGATGGTGTAAATTTTGTAAGTTATATTGAAGTTTGTATGTAACTGAATTGTCATCTCTCTGGAGATTGTTTTATGCTGTCCTTGACATGGAATGTGAGACTTTTGACTGCATCTGAGCTTTATTTCGGCCAGGGATTGTATTTTACATCTCTCTAACTTTGTTTTCGTGAGAGCATCTTTGCTTTGCTAACGATCGAATTGCAAATGTAGACAGCATCTAAACATCTATATAACAACTGTATCATGAAGATCTAAAACAAGCTGGATTAAGATTGTTTGGTTTGCCTACCTTTTTGCACATTGGATTAGGCGGAAATTATCGTAATTCTTGTTCTTCGGTATGTCTCTCAACATATTCGAAATATTTCTTAATATACAGGAGCAAAATTCTGACAATTTGTTTATACAGAATATTTTTTAGGAAGAATAAGAACAAATAATTATAAAACCAATAACGTGCGTGGTTCTTATTAGCAAAGAGTTGTTTTTTCCTTTAAAGCTTCTATCCAATAATCAAAACAATGTAATCAAAACAGGTAATTTCCAGGGTATTAGTACATAAAGAAAGCAAACAACAAGAATATTGGCCCCATTAAGCAAAAAGGTTAGTTCTCTAATCTGCATATACTTCGCATTGCAGAAAATTAAATAACAAATAAAAGAAAAAAGAAAAACACACACACACACAGAAGACTAGGAGAAATAGAACTTACTTTGTTGCGTGTTTGGCTTGACCCCTGCTTCTTCTTCCTAGGCGTTTTCTTCTCCCTTTTCCTCTTTCTTCTTGCTAGCTTTCTTTGGCTTCGGTTCTTTATCTGTGTCTCCAAGATTCTACCATGTTGTTGTCATAGCCAACTGTAAAATCAAGCGCTGACGCTTCCCCCATTGGTCATCAACCTTTGCAATATATGGATGTTGAAGGCAAAGAGTGAAGAAACGGCAAAGAAGAACAGGAAATTTGAAGTGCATAGGTGTGGCTACGGGTCGGTCGACTGACGGCATAGGCCCTGTTGGTCGCCCCGTCGGTCGACAGACTGTAGGATTACAGGGTCTAAAACCCTGTTTTGGCCGGTCAACCGAACGAGTTCGACCGGTCGATCGAAAATCTGGTCGGTCGACTATCTGCTTATTGCGGTCGATCGAAAACGTGCACGATTACAGGGTTTGAATCCTGTTTCTGGTCGGTCGACCGCGAGCACATGTCCGGTCGACCGCGAAGCAAGTAATTGGGCTAGTTTGGTTTTCCCGGTTGGTTTTGGATTGGGGATATAAATACAAACACGTTTTTTAGGGTTTCTTTATCAGAGAAAGGAGAGACTTTTGAGCACTTTGAGAAGGAGATATTGTGAGAGAGCTGAGAGTTTTGGTTAGGATTTTATTTGAGTGATTTTGTGAGTTGTAACACGTTGTATTTCTCCACCATATAATGAAATCTCCTCATCCTCTCGCAGTGGACGTAGGGAATTGTCGAACCACGTAAATCTCCATGTTTGGTTTGATTTGTGTCGTATTGTGGTGAATTGCACTCGTGTTTTTGATTTGGTTCCCTTCTCTCATAACGTGCCGACTCTTCTGGTTGTCGAGCACGCTTCCACACGGCGCGCAACAAAGAGCTAGTAGGGAGAAGGGAAAAAAAATTGAGCAATTAATTGAGAATAGCTGAGGAGAAAAGTTTATATATATAGTTTGGTTGCTAACTTATTCCTAATAGGAGGAGTCACTGTATCCTAATGCTTGTCCAAATTCATATTTTAGTTTCCCAATTTGACTCAAAGAACCGAGGAAAACAATTCAAAAAGTTAATTAATTAGGAAACAATGACTGATTAATTATAACAAGTCATTGTTTCCTAATTGGGAGAGGATAACATTTTAATCCTCGTGTTTGCCTAACTGATAGCTAGTTGGTATCTTTTAGTCTTCTAACAGAGAGGATATGAGTTATTGATGTTGTGCGCGGCGGAAGCCAAAACCAAACCGATGTACTTCGAGGAACAAAAAAAAACGCCGAGATAAAGGCCAACCAAATCAAAATAACAGCACAAAACACAAACAACCAATTTTAACGTGGTTCGACAAGTTATCTACGTTCACGGGGCAAGAAGGGGATGAGTTTTCACTAATAGAGAAGAATAGTACAAACTGAGATTACAAATCACTCAAACCAACCAACTAATCTCACCAACAAATCTCTAATTTTCTCCAAACAAAACCCTAACTAATAGCTCAGAAAATACCTCTTTTCTGTGCTCTAAATATTCCCACAACAAGCCTACCAAACCCTCAAAATTGTGTTCCTATTTATATCAAAATAGAAACCCAAACAGAATAGGAAAACCCAAACTGGGCCTGACCCGACTCGCGGTCGACCGCCGAACCCATCGCGGTCCATCGCGAAAAACGACAGAACCCAAAATAATCCTACAGGGTCTCGCAGTCAACCGCCGTGCCAGTCGACGCGGTCGACCGCGAAAAGTCCAGAGACTTTTCCCTGTTTCGTGCATGTTTGCGGTCGACCGCCGCGCCACTCGCGGTCGACTTCCAGGCACCCAAAACCTATTTTTCGTCTTTTCCTGCAGTCTTCGTCTCTGTGTTCGTCATTTCTACAATTGAATCCGCATGAAAATGCATAAACATCATATTGGTTCCCTCCCTCCATCACCCTTTCTATAGAATGCTCAATTATTTTCAATTCCTCCCATCTCCTTTTAAATTTAAGGGAAAAATGCTTCCAGCCCCCAAAACGAATGAAAACATGCTTCCCACCCCCAAGACTTTTTCAACGGGTGCTTTGCCCCCAAAAGTAAATTTTTTGTTCTCTGAGCCCCCAAAACACAAAGCCCAATGAATTTTACACAGGTAAAGACTATAATACCCATTCTCTCTCTTTCTAACCCTGCAATCCCTCTACTCTCCCTCCTCCCTCCCCCACCTCTCCACCCGCCGCCGCCGCCCTCCTCCTGCCATCCTCACCTTCTCTGCCATCGTCGCTCCGGCCATCCACAGCATCCTTAAGATCCACAACGCGGAGAAAACCTCGGCGCGGTTCGAGGAGTACAAAGAGATAGTCCGCTCGAGGGCCGAGCGAAACTCCGGCGACGAGCGCTGCATAGCCGACGGGAACAAGCGACTGAGGTTTTACTGCTTCATGATTCTCTGCGAGCTGGGTTTCATGGGAGCGTGGGAGCGGGCAGGAGGACCTGTTCATGGGAGCGTGGGAGCGTGGGAGGACCTGTTCATGGGAGCGTGGGAGCGTGCGGGAGGACTCGCCCAACCTAAGAACAATAATAAGAAGAAGAAGGACAAGATTGATAGTAATTACAACCATGCCCCTAACATTGGTTGCTCCTGCTTTGGATGCTACAAGAGCTTCTGGGCTCGTTGGGATGCCTCACCCAACCGCCATGTCATCCACCTCATCCTCGATGCCTTTGAAGAGACCCTTGAATCGAAGGAGGCCAACAGCAAGAAGAAGAGGGGGTTGAAGAGTAAAAAGATTGATTTTGATGAGGTTTTGGCGAAAGAGATGAGCGCCCATGAGGAGAAAGTTGATGATGATGGCCATGATGATGGGTGCGGGCATGTTACTAATTACCAACGCTAAAACTATTACCACCAAAAAACTTTAAAATAACCCAAATAAAAATATACCGGTTGCTTGTTAAAATTACTCCCCCATTAGAATGTCCTACATTGGTTGTTAAGGTTATATGTTGGTTGTTAATGTTACGCGTTTGTTGTTAAGGTTACGTATTGGTTGTTAATGTTATACAGGTTGCTTGTTAAGGTTACGGGTTGGTTGTTAAGAATATGCGTTGGTTGTTAAGGTTACAGGCTTGTTAAGGTTACGGATTGGTGTTAACGTTATACGGGTTGATTGTTTTGTGAATAGTGCCATGCATATTAATTAAAAGATGTTGCCATTTTAAGAGTTATTACAAAAAGCGAGTGTTCTTGAAAAATATATAAATTTATTTTGGTTACCTATTAAAGACATTAACAGGGATGGGCGGGCCAACATGCATAAAAATAGTGCATCTAGACTTCCTATATCGTCTAAAAGTTACTCTAAAACACTCAGGATCTCTCTGTCGGAATCAACGCATTTTTCCCCCGCCGAGCTTGGATTTGATGTTTTGGTGCACTTGTTTGCGTCACTGGTCCTTGTTATGCTATTATTGTGATTTCAAGATTTCACCTTGTTTGTTAGGTCCAAGTTTACATTTTTCTTCAATTAGCGTGTTTTTCAGAGCCTAATAATCCGACAGAGAGATCCTCAAGATCCGTTAATATGAAGGTTACGGGTTGGTTGTTAAGGTTATACGTGTTGCTTGTTAAGGTTACGGGTTGCTTGTTAAGGTTACGCGTTTGTTGTTAAGGTTGCGGGTTGGTTGTTAAGATTACGGGTTGGTTGTTAAGGTTATATGGTTTGCTTGTTAAGGTTACGAGTTGGTTGTTAAACAAGCAACCCGTAACCTTAACAATCAACCCGTATAACGTTAACACTAATCCGTAACCTTAACAATCAACCCGTATAACGTTAACACTAATCCGTAACCTTAACAAGTAACCCGTAACCTTAACAACCAACGCGTATTCTTAACAAACAACCCGTAACCTTAACAAGCAACCTGTATAACCTTAACAATCAATACGTAACCTTAACAACAAACCGGTATATTTTTATTTGGGCTATTTTAAAGTTTTTTTGGTGGTAATAGTTTTAGCGTTGGTAATTAGTAACATGCCCGTACCCATCATCATGGCCATCATCATCAACTTTCTCCTCATGGACACTCATCTCTTTCGTCAAAACCTCATCAAAATCAATCTTTTTACTCTTCAACCCCCTCTTCTTCTTGCTGTTGGCCTCCTTCGATTCAAGAGTCTCTTCAAAGGCATCAAGGATGAGGTGGATGACGTGGCAGTTGGGTGAGGCATCCCAACGAGCCCAGAAGCTCTTGTAGCATCCAAAGCAGTAGCAGCCAAGGTCAGGGGCATGGTTGTAATTACTATCAATCTTGTCCTTCTTCTTGTTATTGTTCTTAGGTTGGGCGAGTCCTCCCGCACGCTCCCACGCTCCCATGAACAGGTCCTTCCGCACGCTCCCATGCTCCCATGAAACCCAACGCGCAGAGAATCATGAAGCAGTAAAACCTCAGTCGTTCGTTCTCGTCGGCTATGCAGCGCTCGTCGTCGGAGTTTCGCTCGGCCCTCGAGCGGACGATCTCTCTGTACTCCTCGAACCGCGCCGGGGTTTTCTCCGTGTTGTGGATCTTGAGGATGCTGTGGATGGCCGGAGCAACTGCGGCAGAGAAGGCGAGGATGGCAGGAGGAGGGCGGCGGCGGCGGGTGGAGAGGTGGGGGAGGGAGGAGGGAGAGCAGAGGGATTGCAGGGTTAGAGAGAGAGAGAATGGGTATTATAGTCTTTACCTGTGTAAAATCCATTGGGTTTTGTGTTTTGGGGGCTCAGAGAACAAAAAATTTACTTTTGGGGGCAAAACACCCGTTGAAAAAGTCTTGGGGGTGGGAAACACGTTTTTATTAGTTTTGGGGGCTGGAAGCATTTTTCCCTAAATTTAAACTTCACTATCCTTTCTCTAGAGACTAGAAGTTTTCACTGTATTCATTCCTCTATTTCCTCAAAATTTAACTTTTATGCATGACATTCTTAAAAAATATATAGTTAAAAAATAAAAATAAAAATGCAACACAATACGAACTAAGCAGCGACATATTATAAATATAAGAGTCTTAATTAACATCTGTGTAATATCTACTCACGAATATGTTTTAATAACTAAAAACACTTTTCATAATTATGTTATAATAAGTTATTTAAAAATTGGATTAATTTTCCTTTGTATAATAGCTTTTGTTCCTTCAATCTAAAGGTAATATATGTGTCATTATTTTACAACCGAGAAACTAAAAACTTTAGAAAATAAATAAAATAAATTCTATTTTACTTAGACACACTAAATAAACTATTCTATGAATTCTAATCTCAATTCATTCCTTTTTATCAAAATAAAATGATACAATAATGGGTTTCTAGATGAATAAAATATACACATACTTTTCAATAAATTCATATTATTTTGATCATGTGCATTATGCATGTGCAATTTTTACTAGAAATACTAGAATTATATATTCAATAAAAATAACATAATTAACTTTGAGGTCTAAAAACTATTAAAATAGAAATTTAAAATTACTTGCACGTGCCGATATGCTACGATATGCTAGTATAAATAAAGTTTTACAGTTTTTCAGTCAAAAACCTCCCACATATATCCTATTTGCAGATTTACCTTCCAAATATACATATTTATTAGTTTATCCCAATAATTTCACGTTGATCTAAATACCCCGAATATTTTCTTTTAGTGAACATTTCACATAACCCTCAAAAAGTTTGGACTTACTTTTGAGATTAAAAACAAAAACCCTTAAAAATGCCACGTAGCCCCATAGAATTTGTGTCCAATTAGAGGGCTATTTGACAAATTGTGGTGTTGCTTAACAAATCTTTTTTTTGGTGTTATGTGACATTTCAAATAGTTTATGATGTTATCTCAAATGAGCAAACTTTTAGGGGTCATGGGTAATTTACCCTACTATTAACTTTAATTGCGGCCATTTTTTTTTCAATGGACAATTGTGATTTGTTCAGACAAAAGTTACTAAGGTATCCTCAACAATTAATCCCTAATCAAATATCCTGTATTTATGATCTATAGAAAATAGATTAAATAATATTTGCTCAAGAATAAATCAGATAATTAAATATATATTTAGTATACAGTAGATATTCGAAGGAAGCTAGTCAAATTCAGATTTGATGCATAAAATTTAAAGTCAGATTCAAACAGCTAGGAGAGTAATTTGTAAACTAACTACATCAATTATTCCAATTAGAGTACGGATTATCCAACAATTGGACAAGAAGTAGGATTCAACTACTCCTTTCCCTATTAGGAATCAAGTCGTAAGTAATCAACTATATTAACCGCTCTCATGAGCTCTTGGCCATCAAA